CGGATGATCTTTAAGGTCCCTTCCAACCCAAACCATTCTATGATTCTATGAAATAACAAGAATGTAGAGAATTAAAATAATGCTTACAAGGTTAACAGCCAAACTGGGATAGTTTCTAGATGTAAAAATAACTCAAAAATAACTTATTCTCCCTCAGAAATCAGACAATATTTTTTTTAACTGAGGGAAGGTTGTGTTTGTGGTATTTGCTGTATGAAAATTATCTTTAGGAGTGAACCTGAGACATATTTTTCTTGGATATAAAAGAGAAAGATTAACTTTCATGTGGTATTTATACTCTGGTAAAGTTGATGTTGAAATTCTAATTTAATCAATTTTAAAGGCAGAAGAAAATAAAATAGGATTAGAAGACATCAGATTTCCAAATGAAATGTACTACCTAACACAGCTTGTGATGGGACTCTGGGGAGAGTCAAGGTGATAGTCATCCCTAGGTTACTTCTTTCCTCAGATTTTAGGTAAAACTTGCAGTTGAAAAAGGTATAAAGTTGATGCTTCCTTGTTATGCACCCTTTTTTCTCACAGCTGAAGAAAAAAGGAGTGATTGCATTCAGCTATCTTTTGTGTAGTCAGCTGGAGGTGTCTGAGTTCATGCTGTGGAAGTGCTAATGTATTCTTTTCAAAAGGGTCAGGATAAAAATCTCCTGAAGCAGGGAGACTGGCTGAGGTCAACCCAAGACTTGCTGATGTTTTCATGGATGACAGTCTGAGAAGCAATTTGATAAAACCGTCAAATGAAATATGCTAAGCATGAATAATAGTGTCAAATAGATTAACTGGTGGGCAAGAGCCAATTTTCAATGATAATCTCTCTCAAAGCATGCACAGGTGCTCATCAACTACAGGGAGTAGAATGTAATAGATTGGGAGAACTTCTAATTGGGCAATAGGATTTTCTAGTGTAATTCCATCAAGTTTTTTCTTTGGGTTTGGTGGGGTGTTTTTTTTGGTGGTGGTGGTGGGGATTTTTTGTTTGGTTGTTTGTTGTTTGGGCTTTTTTTTTTTTTGAAAGCTTCCTGTACACATATTCTGGACATAGGTCTACTTTTACATATAGCTATACTTAGAGATGCTAAATTCTGTTTTGAATCCCACTTTAGTATTCATGACCCTTAATGTGCACATCCAAGTCAATAGATAACAAATCAGGAAATACAAGAGCTCCTTAGCTTTTGTTTGTGAAGAGTAACAACTATCTAAGTATTTGTCAATGGGTATTTACTCTTTCAAAATGTCTTACAAAGTTGAACCTTAAACAAAAGTCAGTATTGTCCTGTCTCCCAAGTGTGCAGCTGAGAAGTCTTTCATGGCACACCCAGCACTTTAAAGCCAAACTTCTTTCTAAATGCAGGTTATCGACACTGGAAATAGAAGAAAGAGCACAAAGTCTTGGTCTCTTTGAGACTTTGAAAACCAGTCCTGAAACCTTACATGAACACATGGTTAAATATGTTTACCCAAGTATTGAAGGTAGAGATCACCAGCGGTTGCTTTATTATTTTGCACTCCTTGAAAACTGTGGTTGCTCAGAGGTGGTGAAGGATGCTGTTAAACCTGACATTCACATCCGACTCCTGAAAAAATTCAAAGCAGTAGCACCAGGTAGGAGAGTTCTTGTTTCTTTTCTTTGTAGCTGTGTTTATTATTCTGTTATGTGAGTGTTGACATGATTATGCTTATCTAGGTTATACTCTCCAGATAATTTTTTTCAATGAGCGTATCAGATGAATGCAAGTAATATAGTAGGTTACTCATATCTTATAGCTATTAGTTTCTTCTCTTTGTATTACTGGAAAATTAGTTTATCACAGCAAGCAAAAAATATTTAAAAACAAGTTTCTGTTTGTGATGCAAGTTAAAATTATTGGCAGTGGGTTCATAGTGAACTCTTAAGGAAAAAATACAGACCTCCTAGAGCATAATTTTTAACACTGCACATTTAACATGAGTATTCTCAAAGAATTTAAGACAGAGTACCTTTCAAAACTCTGGATTACATAATATATCAGGAACTTTCAGCATTTTGTTTGTTTGTTTTAAAGAGGCAAATTTTATTTTGTGTTTTATCCTTTGTTACCTCTTGCTTTTGCTGACTACAACATTAGTTGTTCTCCTACATTATCCGACAATGCCTGTAAAAGTGAGCCGCTGGAAAGCACTTGGAAATTTTGAATACTAGTTTCAGTTTGCTTGTTAGTCAAGTATTAGCAGTGTCTTGAATTTCAGTTGAATAACTCCAGATCCAGTTTCAGAATGAAAAATATGCACTCTATGGAATTACTTGCTATGGGGATGAATTAATTGTTAAATACTGGAGCCTCATGTGTATGAAACATTAACTTTGCTACAGAATTTGGTGAGAGTGTGCATATGAAGTCATATTGCAGGAAGAAAAAAAGGCAATAATTCTTCTGGGGAGGAGGGATTACCTTCAGTTCTTATTGCTGTGTTTAAATACTCAAGTTCTACAGTGCTTGTCAAAGAAAAATCTGTCCAGAAGTTATTGTTTGCCTTCAAAGTTAGTTTTAAATGTTGCTTAAAAAAAAAAAAAAAAGTCCTAGGACCGTACATCAGACATAAATCAGTCACTTTCTATGGTAAAAAATTAAATCTGTTATATTACACTCTTAATTAAAATTCTCAGTGTTCAGCATAGTTTCTAGGTAGGCAGGGAACAACATCAAAGTGTTTGGAGAGGTTAGAGGCCCTAAGTACTTGAAGAACAGCATGTCAATAGAAGTCGGTTGTCTTAGGACTTATATGCATAGAGAATAAAGTAGTATTGTTGATAGAAATATTTTGTTGTTGCTAGAATAATTTGCAAGAATTTTCTTCCTGTAGGAACCGGAGTAGTAACAGGACTCCTGTCTCTAGTTGACCTTACTTTGTTTACTTGTGGTTAGTGCCTAGCATTTTTGCTTAGGTAGGTGCCAATTGTTACATGATAAGAACAGATACTATTTAATTAATGAAGACTTATGTCTTGAGGTGCGTGATGTTCTCTAGACTTCATATTTAAAAAATAGTAGCATGATTCTATATACTATACATATTCTTGCTTCTTTGAGAATCTGTTTTTTATTTCGTATTGTTATGTAATGTTAAAATATATTCCAGGGATTGAGAGATTTCACACACATCAGGACATCATAAAATCTCAGTGTTACCTGTATACAAACCTGTCTTCCTCCGCAGTCAGTATGTATGATTGTAAAAGGAGATGGAGTAGAGTCTTTTTAGATCTGAAGATACTAGTTTAGTACTGATTGTTTTACACATAAATGTAGAGTTTGAGTAGATTTAACAACGAATAGCTTTTGTTTGCCTCTTTCTCCTTCTGTCAATAGGTCTTAACTACAAAAAGCTAACAGATGAAAATGAAAACCCTCTGGAGATACTGGAACCCATCCTTACGAGTCAAAATATCTTATCTATTTCCAAACTGGCTCCCAAAATTCCTAAAAAAGATGGCAGCGTGCTGTCACCAAGCTCTCTTTATGCTGCCTGGTTACAAAAACTTTTTTGGAATGGTGATAACCATCTCATTAAAAAAGTACCAGAAACCATGGATGAGTGGCTACATGCATATGATATATGTTCAAAGTACTTGGATAGACTTGATCCAGATGATATTGTCACTTTTCTTGATGAAATTACCTTTTCTTCAAAAGCCGTCACAAAGGTAAGCAGATATATTTGAAGAATTTCAGGCCTCAGGTGAGGTGCAGTTGAATATAGTATCAAGGACAAAGTCTCAGCAAATTTTTACATTTTTAATTTACAACTTTTAAAGATACATTCATAAACCTACCTTCCTCTGCCTACCTCTTCTTTTTATGGCTGCCAGTACAAAAAAAAAAAAATTATTCAGTTAGAGAAGTTATTTCTGTGAATACTTTGAAACTCCAGAGTTCCTGTGTTTTGATTCAGCAGAGAATAAGATATTCTTCTTGTGTATTTATTTATTTTACTTGTGCCCACCCTAAATTTTTTTGTGCTACAGGTTTCTGTTTAATACCAGGCTTTTGCATTCTGAATAGGATGCTCCACAGAGAAGTGTTCTGGGCCAATGCATATGGTTTCTAGGCACTGTAATAATATAAATTATAAATTTGTGTGTTGCTAGATATGCGTGTCCCTGCTTGAGCAGGAGGTTTGGACCAGCTGCCCTCCAGAGGTCTCTTCCAGCCTCGACCAGTCTGTGTTTCAGTGTTGCTGGGATCCCAGGTTCCTGTGGCATTAAAGGGAGGGGAGCTGTTTCCATAATCTCGAAGTTGCATGCTAATCACTGGCAGTAAGAGTGGCAGGGTCAGCGTCTTCATGTACAAGTGAATATTACTTGTACAATACTTTATTAAGAAATAGTTACGTATTCTGAATGAAATGGGCTTCTGAAATGAGTTTTTACCCTGAGGAGTGAAATCTGTTGAGCTGAAGTAATGTCATGTTCCTTGAGTTGAAAATGAATGATTTTTCATTACACATTATAGCCTATAGAATTAAAAATCTTTTTTAACGGTAAAAGCTTTTTAAAAAGAAAACTTCACTTCACATGCAAAGAAAGATTGAACTAGCCCCTAAGCTACGTGTTGTTTTTTTTTTTTTTGTCACTGGGTATGTTACCAAATCTCATTACTGAAGCTGAGTAGAAGGACGGAGGATAAGCCATTCATAACCAGAGAAATGATGTGTTGGTAGTGCTGGGTTTTGGCACTATGCAAATATGAATGAAAAATTAAAATGGTCTTGGGAAGAACATGTATTTTTTTTTTTTAATGCTTTATTCTGTATGTACTTATGTCATCGTGGCTTCTGAACTGTCAGTATATTCATACTGTTCTCTAGGATGTAACAGTTAGATGAAATACTTAAATTGCTTTCCTCTTGCATCTCTCTTAATTGCATTTTGAACATTAGATTGTACAGTAGAAGGGGGAAAATGAAATATGTAGCTGTTTTAATCTTGTATTGTGTTTACAAAATGGATATATAAATCCATCTGTGGTCATTAAATTTTAATGAGATATGAAGAGTATCACCTTTTCCTTGCTTATAGTAAAACCTGATATCGAGACCTGGTTCCAAGCAACAAAATTGTACTTTATTACTTTTGTTGGGAATGGAACTGAGTTGCATTTGGAACTGAATGGTAAAATACCCTTTGTAGTTACCCTGCTAATACTGGCGAGTTTTCTTACCTCTTATAACAACATCCACCCATTTTGCTTTTATTATTAAAAATGTCCAGTAGACCATTACCGTGGTTCGCAGCAACAGCACGAAAAAACAGGTGTAAACCCTGCATCTTTCTCTGTGTGCATTTAGTCAGGGACAGGAGGAGGGAAAAGTATATAAACTGCAAAATGTTCCACTAATTAATCCTTATCAAGCTTTCTGTAGCTTTACAAGTAATTCATGACGTAAATATCAATTTGGCTTTCTTATGAACAGTGCTATAGCAGTTTAATTTTCCTCTTTCTGTGGTATTTCACCCTCTTTCCTATTAAATGTGCCATGCAGATGCGAGCTTTGTTTTTTGTTTCTTACGTATTTTGACTTGAAAATTAAAATTGTTTATGTGTCTTTGTCCAGTATTCCAGTAACTAAAACACTTGATGTTAAAAGTACCTAATGCTGTGGGTTTAGGCAGAGGAGGAGACCCCCACCCATGAGAAAGCGTATTGTAAGCATCCTTCCAACTGTGCTTGAAGTTACAGACTAAAAAATTATACATGAATTTTTAAAATTGTATTTCAGACTTTGTTTTTGGATTATAGCTGAAGCTGTGTATTTCCTGACTTAAAAGCACAGTAGTTTACTGCAAGTACTGTCTATATAAAAAGTATTCCCATCTATGTCTGTTTCCAAAATCTTCTTGGTTTCTGGAAGCTTGGGAATCTGTGATCGTTGCCCAGGCTCCCTTCTGAAGTCCTGAGTTCTATTCTGATGCACTGGAATGACCATTTAGTGCTAGGTGTGGGGGGTAGGGGAAAACTTCATTCAGTGTGTGTATCAGGCCATTTAAAAATTCAAATTCTATGATAAGTATAATGGGGAAAAAAAAACCCCACACAGACTTCCTTGTTTCAGTTTAATGGCTAGATACATCTAGTTGTACAGGTCTTTCAAAATAGTAACTTGCCCTTTTGTATAACTTGTGCTTTAAATAGGTTGATTTAAAAATTGTAGACCTCCTACTGTTTGGGGTTTTTTTGTTTACAGTTATGGTCTTAGGGATATATTTTAAACCGTGATCTAAACCTGACAACACTAAAGTTAATTTTCAACATTTGAGATTTTCAGTAAATCTTGTAAAATCATCCCCAGATGTCTCTCAATGCAGAATTGAAACCTAGAAGATTGTAAGATGGCAGTCTGCAAAAATCATAAGTATTATTAGGGAAAATAAGTTAGATGTGGTTTAAAATGAGCCAGATTCAACATCAATAAAAGGAAGGACAACAGAAAAAAATTGTGCAATACTGCTCCTTTTAAACTAAATGACTAATAAGAAATGAAGTTGTTTCTCATTAAATATTTCATTTACTTTTATGTTGTGCTGTGGAGCAGTGGAGCCACGTGGCCTCTAGGCACTGCTGTAATACAAATAGCAGTCAGTGTACAGATGATGACTGATTAAATATCGAATAATCTTTTTCAGCTGACAGTTGAAGCCAGGATAGAAGTGACTAAGAAGGCTATTAAGGCAGTCAAACATCTTTCTGAGAAATCAAGAAAAAAAACTTCTGAGAATGACACGGAAGATGCTGGAAGACTGTCTATTGCTTATGAAGAAACTCTGAATCACTTGCAGCAATCTCTTGCTCATCTGGAAACATTCACTCATAGTTTTATCACTTACTTGAAAAACAGCGAGCAGGTAATGATTACTGATCAAATGCTTCTTTTGAGTGTTACCATGGCTAGCAATGATGGACGTCAACCTTCTGTCATATTTTATTAATGTTTTGTACCTTTGTTTTTGTTGACCTGGTTTTTGAAAATTCTCTTCCATCAATCTTTTCTTTTTTGCAGTTACGTTAAATCTTGGTAGAAAGAAAGATTCTGAATGATACAGCCCTGTAAATAAAGAGTACACTGATTTGTGTTCAAAAATTATCTATTGACAGGATACACTACAGAAGTATGGCTATTTATATGATTTGTCAAGGTCACAGAAAGAAAAAATCCATGACCAAGCAGTAGCTATGTGTATAGATGGTCAGCCCCTGGACATGATACAACAGTTGTTACAAGTGGCTGTTGGAGATCTGGGTCTTTCACCCAAGGATATTGTCCAATGTGCTGTTAAAAAAATTGTATGTATATTAAGGTAAGTACACTGCCACAGCTAAGCCCAAAAATTCTTCTTCTGGGTTTTGCTTGGGTTTTGGGTGGGTTTTGTTGTTATTGTTGTTGTTGTTGGATTTTGTTTTTGTTTTGTTTTTTGTAGTGAGTACTTGTTTGCATGGAATGTCTGGATTTTGCAGAAATTTGGGCAGTAACAGATGAGTTCTTGGATCATTTATGCTCCTGTTTACCTATAATTTCATATTCATATAAGACAGTTATATTTTTCTGAGTTTGGGAAGCCAGGAAAATCTGAACAAAGCAAGCCACAGAACTCATCCAATTCACTGGAGGGTGCTCTTCAGTAAAACATCTTGGGTTTGCAATATTGTTCGATTGTGTGTGTGTACACTTGCGAATTTTTGACAATTTTACAATTGCACATAATTCTTCCCCCTTAAACAGAGTCAAAAGGCATGTTTGTTGGAAATGGTGGGTACCTCATGCAGGTATTTGGGCAGTAGAGTCCTAGCAATGGCTGTTGCTACAACAGCTAGTCCTACAGGAAGAAGTAAAATTTCCATCTTTGGAATAACTTGCTGAGGTATTTCTGGGAGCTGTTCGGTTTTTTTGGATCGGTTGTTTTGTAATTTTTTTTATTTTCAAGGTTTTGAAAAATATGTTTATCTGTCATATAAATATAGGCTATACATTTTTCTTCTTTGTTCTCCTAAATAATGCTTCTTAGAGTTTTTGCTCTTCTTCTTCTTCCGTCTCCCTTTGTGTCATGCCTTACCTCCAAATTAAACAGCAAGTGTGAGTGCTTTGGGCTTCCTACAGCACTTAAAAGCAACAGTGATACCGTAAAAAAAACCAAAACCCCGACCTGCTAACTTCTTGGAGAGAAACAGTTTTCTAATGTGAGGAAGGGGATTGTTTTGCTCAACTCTTTCAGTGTTGTCATTGTTACTGTTTCTTGCTGCTATTAATGCCATCATACTATCAGCAATCCCACACACCGTACCAGAAGCAGAGCTTCATCTTTTTCTGGGATTCGCAGCCCCAGACCTCAGCAATTGTCATTTCCATGGCACGACACAAACCAAATAACCAACCTATTCATGCAACCCCAGCAAACTGAGTCATCTCTTATTTTAAAATTACAGAGAAGTAGTCTAGGAGAACAGAAGATGCAAAATAACTAGGTTCCACACAGTTTATACTTACACATCCCTGAGTAACTATGTTGAGATCTGGGCAAGACCTGGATAATACAAGGGAACATGAAATACAGTTGATGCTGATCATCTTAATCTTGTTAACCGTGAGCTCAATGTTTGCATTAACTTCAATACAACGATCTTTTAGTTGAATGTATTCTTTATAGACTATTCTTACTAGCTGCAGCCTCTGTACTTTGTGTCTTACAGTTATAGAAGGGACGTGGCTTTTCTTCTCAAGTTTGCGGTTGAAACTGTTTTAGTTTGTCTGGCGTTTGGGAGAATGTGGTTGTCTCTGGGAATATAGAACTGTTAAAATACCTGCTTGTGGACATGTTTACAGACATGATGAGGATGTGGACCCAGGTGAGGGAAAGCTAAGCACACTGTTTGAAAAGCCTTTCAGGGAAATAAGGTGCTTTTCATTGGTTTTGTTTGATGCTCAGTTCTAGCTCAGCTTTCCATTTGTAACACCTTCTGTTAAGATTTGTTAAGAGATTTGTCCACTTTCGTAGCCATAGTCATAAAATTCCTTTGACATGTAATGTGAGACTAAGGTTCAACCTTTTTCCTGCCACAGCAAAAGTGAAGACATTTATTAGGCTGATGAATTAAATAGGGGTTGTGGTTTGAGGGCTCAAATGACAGTTCATGAGACAAGTGTACAATGAAAATTATTTGTTAGGGTTGAATGAGTCTGTGAAGGTACCGTTGTTCTTTAACAAGGCTTAGGATATGTGGAAGTCCACAAATTTTTATAGCCAGATAAGAGGAACCTGTCGTCTTTCCTAACCAGGAATTAGCAGCATTCTGACCCATGCCTTAGTGCAATGGAATCCATGTGTCTGTCAGAACAACTTAACCAAAGAGCACCCTCAGTCCCCATTGCTCTTGGACTAGAGCTGAGATAGGAAATTCTCAAGACAGCAAGCAGAGAATGAAGTTCTGGGACTTTACATCTCCATCCCTGTCAGTATTTGTGTTCCCAGGATGAAGAGAGCCCAATATTTCTTTTTTTTCCCCTCACTGGTAGAATATCAATGATCTCTTAAGAATCCTTCTGTCCATGGTGCTCTTTCCCCTTCAGAGCAGCATAAAAGTATTCATTTTGGCTTTTTTTCTGCAGTCAGCTGTAATTCATTCGTCGGGGATTTTTTTTATTTGAGGAAGCTCTCTTGGATTTAGTGTTGCTGGGTGCTACCTGTTGCCTCGTCCTGGCTGGATCTTTGATATACTGAATATTCCAAATGAAATGCCACTGTATCTGTAACCTAGTGCTTTCAGTAGAAATATATTCTTCCCCTCCTTTTTTTGGGGGGGGGCGGG